CCTAGCAAACATGGTTCGTTTGAGGCCCTCACTTCTCCCTGCCTTCTCACAAAGTCCACACCTCTTAAAGTTGCCAAGGTTGGGAATCCCTGGTCTAACTGTTTACCTCTGTTAAATCTCTCCTTTAGACCAATCTGTGGTCTGCTTCCATAATATAACAGAATATAGAACTGGGCTTTTAATGAACTAATATTTATTAAGGCTGTGCAGCACTTCAGATTCAATCTCCAACAGGTGCTTGGAGCAAGTGGCGGCCTTGAAGGAGCAGCACCTGTGATACCTTAAGGGCGGCATGACACATTGGAGACGAGGTGTTGAGTTTGAGCTCCTACTTTTGGAGACTGAATACTTGCCAGTTGAGTGAAGGCCTGACTTTATAGATTGTGGATGTACTTTTGCAGATGATGATTGTGTTGGTTTGATTTTTAAATATAATGAGAAACTCCCTTGTAGATCAGTAGAGCCAACCAGAATAATAGCCTATTGGCCTTCTAACAAATGTTTACTGATTTGCTGATCAGCTGTAAAGTTCCTGAATAGTCCTAAACATTTTAGATGCTGGCATGTACAATATGTGTTTTAATCTATCACAGAATGTGGACAATCAATATAGCTAATGAGGGGCCAGCAGGGGCACTCAGGTTGTCTGCGTTAGTCAATAGCTTGTTAATGCAGATTTTCTGGAATCCCGGCTTCCCGTTTTATGGGAATGTAGCTACACTGTTTCTTATTCTCAGTCCCTCATTTATTCCTTGCTTTGTATTCATGGGTAAAAATGTGTTTTTGTGCTTAGCTTGCACATTTGAGACTCATTTAATGGATGAGGAGACAGGCATTCCTTTGCCAGCAGTGCTGCTTTTATTGTTAATCAGATAAATTTATGGGGATAGTATTTGTTAGTTAATTCATTAGGAAATACCTTGTAGAAGTTAATGTCAGGGCAAGTACATTCCCCAAGTTCATTAATTATTCCCTTTATAGGTAGCACATTTGTGTTTTCTATTTTCACATACTTAAAGCTCAATTATAAGCACCCATTTCTTACTAGTCAGCAAGTTCAGCTTCCCCAAGGCACCTAAGCAGCAATTTGTCTTATTTATCACTACGGCATCATTATGATACATATACTTTCTTCACTTCTTACACTGGGAAGTTAAAATTAAATTCCTGAAGAAGACAAGGGCAATCATGCCAAGAACACTGCAAGCGTTGCAGGCATTAGAACTCAAGCTCAACTTGAAAAAGATGTTACTAGATGGCAACATCTGGTCAACCTTGACTGATATCCAAAGTCCAGGTTAGTACTGGAACTCCCTGACTGGGAATTCTAGGGCTGTTAAATAAACTGGGAAATAAAAGAAAAATCCAAAAAGGTAACAGCGAACTACTTCCATAACACTTCCAAGAACCTGGATGCAGTCACCAGAAATCAAGTTCAACTCAGGCATCTTTACCTTTTTTTTTTTTTTTTAAAGAAATGGAACTTAACTAGTTATCTCATATAGAGAAATCTATATTTGCAAGTTGAGGTAGGCCAAAACTACATAATTGGTAGAATCAGGCATTGCCTACAAAGTATAATAGGCAACAAATTCAGACAGCACTAATCAAATGTTTAAATGTTGAGATAAAGTCCATGTCTTAGCAATTTACAAATGACAAGGAGTAAACAAAACGGAAACAATGAAATATTAAAGTAGCTTTAGGAAAATGGTAGAATTATTTGTTTCAAAATCTCTGATAAACATAAGCATGAATGAACAGGCTAGTTTGAAATTATATAGGAATGAGAGAATAACTTACTTATTCTTACAAAACTTTTTTTTCTGCTTTGTAATTTATTTATTAATTTGGTAGATGAGGAAAGATGAAATGAGGTCAGTATAACAAAGTTCAACAATCCCTGTCTATCTTGATTTCAGTGATAAAATGTTCCCAGTGTATGGCTTTGGAGCCAGGATACCTCCGGACTATAAAGTAGGTGAACAGGTGAATCTTCTTCATTTTTTTGCTGTCTCAAGCATAATGTATAAATTACTGGAGAGGGAAGCAGTGGTGGAAATGGTAGGAGGGAATGAAGAGGAGTGGCAGTAGCAATTTTAGATTCACCTAGATGATTTACAGGTTGGAGGCTCTCAGCTCAAATAACATCATGCTATGATAATTCTGAATTCCAACCCAGTGAAGATAATTTTAAGGCCTTAAAGGCTTTTCACATAATATTACCATATGAGAGAGTTTCCCATACCACTCAATTTCCCCCCCTGTTGTGACCAATTTTATTTTTAGCGTACAGCACTGTTGTTATTTTGGGTGGTTATCAGAGCTTCAGAGGGCTGGAATTAAAATAATTTCTGAGAAGAACCTTGGTGAAAGCCTCTGAACAAAGATGACTATGTTTTGTGATTCAAGAATGGGTTCCAAGTATTGGGGATGAAAAGAAAGATGGAGGGCATGTCAAGCAGCATGTGTATATTATGTTAACAGGACCACATACAGGCAATCTTTTGGCCTGGTGGATATAAATGGCTTCATTGAAAAAATGGTGTGTTGACAACTGAGTACAATTGTGAGCACATTGTAAGCCGCCCTAGCCACCTACTCTGGACTCCCAAAGTTCTGTCTGCTATCCCACAACCTCTCATTTTTAGCCATGGGTGGACATGTTTCCAAACAAAGCACTGCATTCCAATCATGCATCATTTTTATTTTATTTTATTATGCCAGTCTAGGGGACATTTTTCCAAAGACAGATTGCAATAGGGGCTTTGCTTTGCAATATGTCACCTTCTAATGATTTTTAATTGAAAAGAATCTTGTGAATGAAATAAAGACAGATTAGGGACCTTGTAGACTGTTAGCCCTATGAGATAGATTAGAACAGGAAAATGACTCCATAGGAAGACTAAAACTGTACTTTATTGAAATAAGCTATAGTAACAGAATCTTGCAAATCTTCCCTTCCCTCCCTTTTATTCGTCAGTGAATTGAGGAGAGCCAGTTTGAGTCTTTTTCTAATACCTTCCCATCTCTCTGGGCTTAATGCATGCTTCTGTACCTGTTGTTGTCTTAATCGCTTTGGATGTTTTCTCCAAGGTCATCTCCATGACTCCCTTCATCAAGATCAAGGAGGATACCTTAAATATATTATTGTATATCACATTATATACTCTGCATTAAATTATTTAAATTAGTTATATGACATTAGATAAGAAAGGTGTATTTCTTAATGAGTGCTTAGAACAGCATTCTACTTTCTGGGACATAAATATTATTTACTGGGCTGTGTGAATGACCGTTAACTTAATGTAACTTATGTTTTGATTTAGACTTCCAACTTAAATTAAAACAAAAACAAAAACAGGGAAGAGATGTATGCACTCATTCATTCCTTACATAATCACCAAGGACTTCCAGTGATTAACATAATAAAAAATGAACATATCATAAAGTATAAAAAAAAGTCAAAAATCACAATAAGAAATAAAAAAATGGCCTACCTAATTGTGCTCTCCAGAAAAATTCTGTTTCAATTAATTTTCTGAATGTCAACAGAGTATGTACTAGCCTGACTTCAGAAAAGAGGCTACTACATGAAATAGGGGGCATCGTCAAATGGTATAGTTTTGGGGGCATTGTTCTCCTTCAGCTCACCAAATCATTAGCAGCGTCTCCCAGGCTGAATGTAATGGATGGGTCAGTTCTAGTTGGAGAAGGTAGTCTTGGAGGTCTGATGTTTGCAGTTACCTCTCTAAAAATCAGATAATATCAGTCCCATTTAAAGAGTTTCAGATTCCATTGGGAAATGCACTTTTCCTAAATCATAAATTGAAATAAGTGAGGGGAGAAACAAATAAGATGATAGAAATTCAAACATCTATACTTTGGAATAAAAGAACTGACAGAATGATCATTCGAATGCTATATATGATTTTCTTTTCTCTTATAATTGCACTGCAGTACACGTGCATCACACTATTAAGTATTTAATACCAAGGCTAAAAATTTGACCATAAGCATTTACAGAAATTTTCAGGCTGGCTCTATAAACATTAATTCAATTTTGCATGAAAATGCCTTTTTTTAAATCTTACACACATTTTTTCAAGTATTTTTCCTCAATAAAAAGCTTGTGCATTGTTTTCATGAGTATATGCAGTTTTTCAATATATGTTTAAGATGTTTCCCTAATTTACATGCTTTATTGTTATTATTAGAGAAAATTAGATAATTTCACATTCAGATATGAATTGACTGAATGTTTTCCCATTCCTGTTTTTTCTACCTTAGAAAATACTCTTGACTTGAATTGTGCAGATACTCAAAACCAACAATTATGAAGCAACACAATAAATATATATATTTTTAAGCCTTTGGTAGTGAATGTCTAGTAGAAAACTAATTTGAATTCTCCACTTGCCAGTGATGATGAAAACAACAAGAATTTTTTTCAGAGCAAAAAATGTATCTAATTCTTGTTGGGGGGGCGGTGGCTTTGTCCACAGGTATCTCATGATTTTGCAATCAACTTTAATGAAGATAATCCAGAATGTGCAGGTAACCAGCTTTTTTTTACAGCAAACGATATAATGCAGCTCGGCTGTTTACTTTTGATCAATTGTTAAGCCCAAACTGCATATTTGAATCTATGTATCTGCAAAGTACTGATCTCATATTCAGTGTCCCTTGTATGCTTGCCTTGTTACAGCTCATACTCAGTGGAAAGGTCACATAAGAACTGTTAATTGTAGGGTACTGCTCACAGAACTGCACTGGATCAATGTCCAGTGCTTTCAGGTATAGCTGGGAAAGATATCTCCCTGAAGAACTGAAGGTGGTTGGACCTTCAGTAGTTGAACTCATTGTTAAGACAAATTCTTGCATAGGTATTATTTTCATAGCCTTAAATATGAATCATTCAGGGCATCCAGAAAAGATTACATATAACAATTAAATGAGAATAAAAATTTAATAATTTATAGCTGACCTTAGAACTAGTTAGTTGCTGAACTCTGTTTTAATTTGTTGCAGACCCCCCCGGTTTAATTATTTCATTTATGGGAATGTGTTTTATAGTTGATTGCTTTACTAAGTGCTTTTCTAAAAGATAATTTTTTGATACATAGCTCTCTTTGAGAAAGATGATGATGATGATGACAGCAGCATCAGTGACAAACTATGCCAAATCATTCTTACTCAACATCTAGATCTTACTCCAAGATTTCCATTTCAAATTTCATGATAAAATGCAGGTCCTTAGAAAGGCCATGTAATGGCTTAGTCAAAAATTACTAAGGGCAGTGAGGGGGAACAAAATGTACCAAGTAATTTCCATCTAATAATTAATCTCTATAAGCCTATAAAGGTATAGCATTTTTCTGAGGCTCACATTATTAACAAAAGCTTCTATGGCATGTAAAATGACTGTACTTGCAAAGGCTTTTAATATCATCTGGGATGGTTAATATCTACAAAATGCACCGCTGAATGCTGATGGCCAGGAATAATGCTGGTTCATGAATGATATATTACGTGTCATATAAAAGAGGTCAGGTCAGCGGGGAGAGTTGCTGTCTTTCAACTCTTTCAGAATCATGGCTGGGCAGACTAAATAGGCTGTCTAGTTGATCACTTCCATGAATAAGATTGCATGAATTACTTAAAAAAACTGCACCTGGAGGAAACAATCGTTTCGTGTCCTCCTTCCCAAGGAATTTACTCAGTCCCTGCCTTCAGCCCTATTTTCTTCTTCTTGTTGTCATTTTACAAGGGATTCAAGGGGTTGTAGAAGCATATCAGAATTGCCTCCCGAAGCTTCAGCTTTATGGGCCAACCAACATTGCTCCCATCATTCAAAAGGTGGCTAAGTCAGCCTCAGAAGAAACAAACACCAAGGAGGCATCGGTAAGGATCATGGAAAAGCGCAAGCTAGTTTATGCTATCTTTCCTTTTGACAGCAGGAAACACCAGATTAGATACACATTGACATACTTTAACCATCCTTGGATGATCAGCATCTGGGCAGTATCAGCATAATACAAGGAGAATTTCCTCCTCTTTCAATGCACACATTTTGTGTTTTCTAGTTGTGGTGGTTTTCGTTGTGGAAATGGGGAGAAGAGCACACTGTATACCATGATTTAGCAAATAGCTGCTGATTCAAACACACTGAGCCAAAGCCAGATAAACCACATTGTGGCTCACTATGTTAAATGAGCTGAGTCTACATGAATGGTTATATGACTCTTCCCAAGGAAGCACATCTTCCTCTTGCCTTCATACCTCCTGTAGAATAAGTGTATCTTGTAATTTTATCTTGTTTGTTCTTATTACATTTAATTAACTTTCTGCCTCCTGTCATCATTAGTGAAAAGTGCCGTAAAAATAGTTGCAGTGGGCAGCTGCTAGGGAATCTCAGCAGCACTGCTTTTCTCCAATGGTTGCCAGAAGTGCATTCAAATCTTGATGCTCCTTTTCTACCCTTTAGCAATATTTCATCTTGTTGATTCTGACGGATGGGGTCATCACAGACATGGCTGACACACGTGAAGCCATTGTACATGCCTCTCACCTCCCCATGTCGGTCATCATTGTTGGAGTTGGAAATGCTGATTTCAGTGACATGCAGATGCTTGATGGGGACGATGGCATCCTGCGGTCTCCCAAAGGAGAACCAGTTCTACGAGATATTGTTCAGTTTGTGCCATTCAGAAACTTCAAACATGTAAGATTTGTTTCCATTGTATTCTTTTTGATAAGGCATTATTTCTTAGTTCAGGGATTCCACCCATAAATGCTATAGCTATCATAATAACCTTCACACATAATTCAAATAGAAAGAGATTCAAGGGTGATTTTTAGTGAGGTGAATGTTAAGTGCTCGTCTATGTAAATATATGAGTTTGTTACATTATTTTAGGTGTACATCTAACATAACATATGTAAAGTATTTCTTGCTATTCTCAACTAAACATGACATTTGAGCCTCTCTTAAGAGAGAAAGGCTTCGATTAAGCACAGAGGCATAAGTAATAGAAGAATATAAATTGTGGAACATTTTATATTGATGTTCAATATAAAAGAGGAACATATTAGTTGCCTCTTCTACCAGCAGACAACTAACAAGTAAATCAGAGAAAATGTAGATCGTGTGTATTTTAATAGTATTACTTATTTAGTAAAATAAATTTATAATTTTCTGAAAAAGTCACAATATTGAAATATAGAAGCATAAAACAGTGAAAATCAATATTGTAGAATGATAATTGTGATGGGGGAGGTGGAAGAGTAACACTCAACGTTTTGGACTGGGTATTACAGAATTATAGCCCAGCACTGGAGGACACGAATGAGATGAGCCATGTGTCGGTTAAAATAATATTGTGTGAACACAAAGCAAAAATCATGATTCAGACTTTTAAAAATGTAATGTACATTAAAGGATTTGATAGTATTAAATCTACTATAAAAAGAATACTATCCTGAATTCAATTCAGGAGCCAATTCCTCTCCCCTAAAAGGAAGATTAAGCAGAAAAAAAATATAAACCACAAAATATCCTGCATGCTGGCCACTAACTTATTGACTTAACTGCCACTAACACTAACACTAATCCCAGAGAAATTAGTGCAACTTACCTATCTGTATATTTGTGTACATTCATATAAATGGACAGGGTCATATATGTATGTGTGCATGTATACACCCCCAAATGACTCTTGTGCATACATTCACAAACACAGAGACATACTTACCCTGGAAAAGCTAGAAATCTGGACTCACCTAGAATTAAACCTATGCACTTTTACTTTGTAATAGGTCCCATTAAGTTCAGTGGCTCTTACTCCTAAACAAGTATGCCTAAGTCTTCAGGCCCTCAGTCAACATGTATTGACCACTAGGAGGCAGTGCATGACTATAACCAGATGTTTCTATAGGGTTCAAACCTTCTTTCTGGAATTGGACCATTGCACTTTAGATGATTACTGTATATACAGTGCATTAGCTATAGGAGCTATCCAGGTCCTGATGCTCACTAGTGTTGCAAGAAGGTATATATAGAATCTGTCTGTAGAATGGTATTTACAGTCAAGCTTTCCTTTAGCTCTCAAAGTAGAGAGATGCAGATGTTACATTATATCATGTCATCATGTATGAGATATTGGGGTGGGGTGGGTAGAAATCATGTAATATCTCATATAATACCACAGGATATACACTGTATAAAAATAAAGAAATGTCCTCCCTCTCCGAGGAGAATGGGGATAGAAGTCATGTAAAACCTAATACCTAAGGACATGATATAATGTAATATCAATATTTATCTACTCAGAGAGCTTAAGGGATGGTGAACTGGATATACCATTCAGTGGATGGATACAGTCAATATGGGAGCCTAATTCTCCTCTTTGTTATTTGCTATATGTAGAGGGAATATCTGCAATGGAGATCCTCCCTGATTGCGGATCCTGATTTTTTTTTTAAACCTTCATTTGTGTGGTGGGCCTGCATGGGCAGAGGGGGCTTTCCACTGCAGATTCTGACCTTCTACAAGCTGGGAGGGTGGGCAGGAGGAGGTAATAGGAGACCAAGCTAGTGACTTTGCTCCATCCCCTGACAATGCCTCTATTCCAACCACTTCTTTTCATTATTTCCACCCAAATTTCCATTCACTCACTTGCAATGATATCTTTCTCTATTAATATATTCTCAGTGAATATATGGTGTCCCAATCTAATTCATAATTATTGGGAGGAGAGGGACAGACTCATTTTCCTTCTGGGTAAATACTGTATTATACTTAGTATAACTTTTTTCAGAAGTGATGGCTAGATTGAGGTAAAACACCTTTCATCAGCCAGTGCAAAATAGTGGCTAAGAGATTGGCCTTGAACTGGGAAGAATGGATTTCCCATTCAATTATAGAGATCACCAAGTGGTGTTAAGTCAGTCAGCCCACCCTACCTCACAGAATTGCTGTGTGGATAAAATAGTATCCTCCCTTCTACATATGCACCATTTTGAGCTTGTAGAAGAAAGTTGGGATATAAAAGAAAGAAATAAGGGCTAGTTATGAACTATAGTTATGAACTCAGCACTGTCAGTTTTAAAAAAAAGTTGGAACAATTTGCACAGAACTAACATCCGTTATTTCCTGCCATTTCTTGCAGGCATCCCCAGCTGCGTTAGCAAAAAGTGTTTTGGCTGAAGTTCCAAATCAAGTGGTCGACTATTATAATGGCAAAGCGATTAAACCAAAATGTATGTCAGAATATGAGTCTTCCAGGACACTAGCTCCATGAACTTCCCTGGACACTTGACAGAGTACAGAAATACTACTATTTACAATTACTGTACTTAAAATGAAAATAGCACGTTTTCGTGATTTTTATCTCAAATTCCCCTCCCTTTTTTTTTTTTTTTTGCATGTGTAGCCTAAAGGCTTGCAGGTAAAGATTAAGCAACTGTATTGTTGAAGACTTTTTATGAAAAACAAACAAAATTATTACTCTTTACATTACAGCATGTCATCATGAAACGAAAAGTTATCTGTATCTGTTTTTTATACAGGTTTGTTGAAATTTTGCTAAATTTCTTATTATCTTTACACTGTAAAGCATTTTGAAACATTTATTGGAAGTTGATAGCCAAAATATCTTTGGGTTTATCTGCTATGAAATGAAAAGATTTTTCAAAATGGCAGACGCATGGATTGTATTTTGCATGTTCCAAAATAAAAACAACACAGTTTTGCAGTTGTTGTGTGTATTTCTTGCCACAAAGCTAAAATGTCTGCTAAAATGTTTTCATCAACAATTCCATTTTCAAATAATGACAATTTCTATTACCCAAAATTCTCCAAACTATTTCAGGAAATTACACCTTCAAGCATGAATCTAATATATGTATAATAAGCATGACAATTGCTTGCTTATAAAAAATGTGCCCAAACATAGCCAACAGTATGAATGCTTTGTGATTATGTAAAACAAAACAAGGAATAGTGCACAGTAAGAGACTACAGTTATTGCAATACTTATTAATGGTGGCGTTTACATAATATGTTAAACCATGATTTATTTGCATAGACCACAGTTAACTATTAAGCTTTAAACTCTAATTTACAAACCACATTGGCTAGTTTCACAGAAAGCACTAAATCACAAACATGCAAATCACACTGCATCAATCAAACAAGTGTGTAGATTTTGGCCAGTAGCATTTATGCCATGTTGTAATAGCCATAGTTATTATAGGATTTGATGGCCTGTATTTTGGACATATCTAATTTTTTATAATATTAGCATTTGCTCAGTTCCTTTCATTTCATTCACAATGTCTGTTGTATTGTCGGTTCTATGAAATCTATCTTGCATGACTTTGACACAGCCAGTCACTAAAGGAATTACCTTCTCACAGACTGTTAGTTTTCTTCAAAAGCCTGCAATTGCTATGCTCTGAAGTTAGGAGGGATGTACTACATTCCAGAAAAGCTACAGATAAGACTGTCAGAAGGATCAGACCCCTTTTTTCTCTGCTCATTCCCAAGCCAGGAATTCAGACAACAGACAATCAATGGAGGTCATACAAAATGTATTCAGTCCAAAGTTGTCAATTAACTTTGGATGGGCAGCTGCCATGGACTGCTTCTCTGTATCCCTTTTATACGTTTTATAGTTTAAAGATTTAGCCAATCATTATCAATGGAATGGAATGTATTAGCTTATTTTAAACAAATGTTTCCTTATCTTAGAGTTAAAGCAGATGCCTCCTTATTTATTGTTAAACAGATGTCTCTTTATCTAGAGTTAAAACAGATACGTTTTTCTATACATAAGATACATGTCTTCCTTTACGTGGGTTTTGCTATGTGATGTCTCTTTTGTTTCTAATGGCAGGAGCACATTACTACTGCCTATACAATCTTTCCTTAATTTAAGTTGATTGTAAACATATAAGAAAAATATTCCAAGACAAACCCAGTAATGGAAAGCGGATGCAAAGAATTCCTAATGACATTTGAACATACCAGCAATTCAGCTGGATTATTTGAGGACTAGAAAATATTGGTGAGAACCCTCTGTATCTTGTGATTGCCTCCAGACAGTATAACTTGAAAAAATTAGAAATAGCAGATTTTACATCTGAGTTCTGGGAGTCTGCTGTATTTTAAATTTATTTTAAGCTGCCTTGAGAATATCAGTTAGTAGCTAGGATAAACGTCTTTCTGTAGGAAAGATAAATAAACTGCATAAATTGTTACAAAAGAGGATATGTTAAATTGTAAAAGGATAACTTTCTTTAAAAAAATGGCTAACTGGGCATTGTGTTGCTCAAGGGCTGGGGGGCACACTATGTTTTGGGGGAAGCACAGGCCCCAATTGATGGGACAATGACATGAAGTTAGTAGGGTTCCATTACATATATGAGGAAGATATTAAGGCTATTCTGGGATTATACAACATTTTATTATGTTTTCTGCTTCAGAAATGAAAAGAAACTGGATGACTGATTTTCAGCTATTACACCATGAAATTCAGTGGAGTCTGCAGGGGGAACCAGATGAACGGAAAAAGAAAAGGTTGGGGATTGTAACAAGCCATGGGAAGGAAATCCTCTAAACAGCATATGGTCAATGGACAAAAGTTGTTAATTTAATACAATGGGTCCTAAGCGGCTCATGCTTAACAAATTGGAGAGAGAATTTAGAATGTGTTATGCTACAAAAGGAGATTCCCACCCAATTTGGCAGATTGCAGGATTACAGTCAGATTTAAATAAGAAGAAATAAATCGTTTTTATTGATATTTCTTACCCTTCAGCTCTAAGGGATACCTGCTAACTTGCCAAGCTGTTTGGACCTGGCACTCAACTCTAAAGCCCACGAATGAGTCTCAATGCCCTGTACATTGGAGTAGGATTTTATCAATTGAAGAAATTATTACTACACGATCCAATATCATTTTTTAATCTTACTATTTATAAACACGATTACCTGTCTTACACAGGTAAATGCTTCTCCACTCATTGTTCACACTGGTAATGCCTCAATAGCCCACTTCCAAACACTCCAGAGTTTAACAGTCATTTCCCTCTCCCAGTGATGAGTTGATTATCCTTAAACTTACAATCCTAAATGACATGCACGATCATGACCTAATTTTTGCGAGACAGTGTCTTCTGGAAAATTCCCTATGCTATAGGGGTACCTTGTGGCCCACTGACCATATAGTATACCAATATACAGAATTTTGTTTGGCATTAACCCACCCCACCACCACCACCTTTAATTTATGAAGGATATATGCAGTTTCCATTGTGGAAGAACACATGTCTGCAAACTTGCTATGGGGAATGTTAAAAGTGCATTTCAAACTGATGTTATATCAGATGAGGAAGAGCAACCAGCTCCATCCTAACAGTTGTGACAATGTGCTGACTTCCAGGCAGCACATGACTTGATTGTGCTGTATAAGGATGGTTTCCAGACCACAGAAAGGCTGTAGTGGAAAATCCTATCCTACCAGATTAGAAGGGAATACAGAGTATAATCTATTTGTGTGCTTCAAATTTAGCAGAATTTCTAGCATTCTTGTTGGAATTAAATGCTATTGAAATCAAAGCAACTCCAACTGGCATAGAGACAGTTTTTATGTGAAAAACTGCATGGGCCATTATGGCCCAAATCATTGGGCTTGCCCAATGCACTAATTCTTGCTCAGCCATGACTTACTGATGAAACCATAATTTGCTAGGTTTGCTCAGGATGCTATGCCACAAACTATGGTTTACAAGCCACAATGACTGAATTTACACAACTTGCTGAGCCATCCAAATTCTGGCTTAGCAAAATGTGTGGGCCCAGCCATTGTTTTGCTCCCATTAAATCCAGCGATCACATCTAGGCTGCAAATCTCCAGATGACTCCTAAATGGCAGCAAAGAGATTCAGAAAGTTGTAGCTTCACTGATTCAAGGTCAAAATGGCCTAAGGGGAAGTGGAAAAGGCTATACAGCTCTTCTCATAATTTTGTCTGGATTTTAAGATGCATGTTGCATGGCATGCTACATTTTCTACTCAGGAGCTAAGTTCTTGTTTGAGTTGCATTGAAGTTGCATGCTAAAAATATTTCTACAAGCTGTAATCTTATTTTACTAACCTGAACATATCGTCTAAGAAATAAGTTCTGTTGAGTCTAAAGGATTTAATTCCATGTAGGTGTACATAAGACTATGATCAAAGTAAAAAGAAAAGAAAAGAAAAAAGCACTCAACAATTGCACCCAATAAAATGATTGGTCAATCTGCCCATGTTCCCCAGTGTGCCTGTCGACCTTTCCCTGGTGCTTGCCAAACTCCCTGCTCCATCACCTATTCTTTACAGCCTTTCATAAAACAACAACAGCAACAACATCTGCCTATCCCAGGTCCTTGGGATCCAGTCTAAACATCTGGCTGACTGTGCAACCAACCAATATAATACCATCAAACAGCAACATCTGCCTATCCAAGGTCCTTGGGAAGGACTCAATAGATGGATAAAAATGCCAAATCCAGTCTAAACATCTGGCTGACTGTGTGACCAATCATCATCATCATCATCATCATCATCATCATCATCATCATCATCATCTATCCTGCGACGAAACCTTTAATACCATCAGACAACATTTGCTTATCCCAGGTTCTTGGGAAGGATTCGATAGGTGGATAAAAGTGCCAGATCCAGTCTCCACATCTGGCTGATTGTGCGACCAACCATAATTATAACAATAACCTATCAAGTCCTTCCCAAGGACCTGAGATAGTCAAACAACAAGATCTGCTTATCTCAGGTTCTTGGGAAGGATTCGATGGTGGATAAAAATGCCAAATCCAGTCTAGACATCCGGCTGATAACAATAATAATGGCACTGACACAATGCAAAACAAAACAAAATGCCAGCCTCCAAACTATTTTTTTCCCCAGGAATGCTTAAGTGTCCTATACTGTATAGAAATTCTTGGAATATCTAGCATTGTTATTGTTTTCTAATGTTATTCTTTGTTTTGAAATTTAGCCACCTGTCCAGAGAGGAGACAAAGGTAATATGATCTATTAGGGAGCATCTTGATATGGGGTCAGCAACAGGCTGGAAAGCAGCCTCAACAATTCATCTCCTGATATGTGTCATTTTATGAGGGGGCACACCCCTATGGGAGTCATGTCTCACATTTATTTTATAAAATAATTGGACATGCTCTCAAAACTCCAGTTACGCCCATCAGCCCCTAGTGGTTGCCTACTCTGGTCTTTGTGATCAAATAAACTAAACTAGAAAAATCTCTTCTAAGAAGTGTCCAGCCCTTCATATGACAGCTACACAATTCATTATTATATCAATCATTTGCTATAAATATGGGCCAGCAGGAAGTATGGAGTAAATTTTACCCTGGTTTTTACAAAGCGAAAAATGAGGAAAGGCCTATATAAAGAAGAAGAAGAAATCTCATCATTAAAAAACCAAAATACTAAAACATGGCTTTTAGGCGCGCACACACACACCCCAGCTAAAAGGAGGTTTATCCTTGTATGACAGACATTCAAAATGGGACACTTTGAAATAAGAAATAAAGTGTACCTAAAGCAGTGTTGTCTAAACTTGGCCACTTTAAGATGAGTGGACTTCAACTCCCAGAATTCCCCCCCCAGCCATTCCGGGCTCTGGGTTTTTTGAGGGTGAGGGTCA